GACTCTCTACAAAAACAAGGGTGATCGCAGTGACTGTAACAGTTACAGGGGTATCTCCCTACTCAGCATTGTAAGCAAAGTCTTTGCAAGAGTCGTATTGGCCCGGCTGCAACAACGATGACGGTGTGTATCTACACACAAGGTCTGACGAGCGCCTTTTCAACCTTGCCAGACTTCGGGCGAAAACCAAGGTCAGGAATGTTACCATCAGGGAGGCCCTCTTTGCCGATGCAGCCCTCACGACCCATACCGAACCAGCTCTGCAGCGACAGGTGGATTGCCTAGTATGAACATGCAGGGAACTTGGTCTTACCATCAGCCTCAAGAAGACAGAGGTGATGGCCCAGGGCACTGACTCCCCTCCATCCATCCACATCGAGGACTATGACCTGAACTCCGTCAGTCAGTTCTAGTACCTCGGCTCAACGATTTTCTCCAACTTGTCGCTGGAGCCAGAGATCAACGCCAGGGTAACCAAGGCAGCAGGGGTAATGTCCAAGCTCCAAAAAAGGTGTAGTCTAACAACAACCTGACCGACAACACCAAGATACAGGTGTACAGAGCCTCTGTCCTCAGCACCCTGCTCTACTCAAGCGAGGCCTGGACAACAGATGCCGCTCAGGAGAGGAGGCTGAACAGCTTTCACCTTTGCTGCCTTCAGCATATCCTTGGTATCCGCTGGCAAGACCAGATTTCTACCATCAAAGTACTCGAGCAGGCAGGGCTGCCGTCCATCTTTGCCCTCCTGACCCAGCGCCACCTGCAGTAGTTCGGACATGTGTGTCACATGGACGCTGGCTGCATCCCAAAGGACCTGCTCTACGGTGAACTTGCAGATGGTGCTAGATGTCCCGGTCACCCAGCGCACTGCTTTAAAGACTCATGTAAGCGTGACCTGAGAGGCGCTGGCATCGATATCGATACGTGGGAAGGACTCGCCGATGACCTAGGAGCCTGAAAGTCAGCTGTCCGAAATGGAGTTGAGCAGGCAAAGACCAAACGCACCTACTCCCAGAAGCAGAAGAGAGCAAAGCGCAAGTCCAACTCCACAGACCAAGCAGCCTCAGCCTTTGTCTGCCCAGCCTGCTCCAAAGACTGCCACTCCCTCATCGGCCTGCATAGTCACAGGAGAAAATGCAGTACCCGGCATTGACCCATAAGCGTGCAACCATCGACTCTCGAGATCGAAGGAGGCCAAAGAGAAGAGACTTGACACCCAGTCTACAAACCCTGTGAGACTGGTCTGAAAAAATCTAAGGGTTTCTTGAATGGTTGTAGTTGAGACCATCACATGACCATGAACAAGACCAGTCACAAGTAACAGGTTGCAGTTCATTTCAATAGCTTATGACTGGAATTCAGACTAGAGGTCTTGACTGGTCTTGTAGTTGTCTTATGGTGTGTTGATTGCAAAACTAGGTTCCTAAGTAAATTTCCTAGTGGTGACCATAGATGGATTTCTTTCTAGTGGTTACACAAATAAGTTAACTCGGTCTCAAGTTAACTCAGTTTCAAGTCAACTAGGTCTCAAGTCAACTTGGTCCCAGGTCAACACGGTCTCTATAAAAAAAGAAGTACAATGTACATGTACATAATTGTGATGTACACGTAGATCTCGAACTGGGACTAGACTGTCATTCCGTACAAGCAGCAATTAATATTTCTGAGTGCTTGGTGCTGAGGCAGGCGCACAAATAATGCCATGTTAATCACAATTATTTATTCAACAAAAAAAAATGCAAGGATTAATTTCCGTTTATTCATTCAGAGTTCACTGTTAAGTCAACCCACACCATAAGCCTTATTGCAAATACTGCATGGATGATTTGGCACGATAGAGAGGCATGGTGGAAAGGAAAAAGGAGCAAACATTGCCCCTTTTTCCTTCCCACAATGCCTTTTTACCATTGTGCAAAATCACCCATGCAGTATTTGCGATAAGGCTTGTGCATGGGATTAAACTTTGTGGGTGCAACGATATGTCAAGATGATTGTGCAGATTGATCTTAACCTTATTCCCTACCCTGTGTTCAAAAGTTTTAATGTAAAACCATAGGAATGAATATCCTGGATTTCTGTCCACCGCTCGCATACTGCAGAAACAGCTACCAAAAGATTTCCATTTATTATTTCAGAAAAATCATTTTTCCCATCGGGAATGGTTGAAAAATAGCAGCAAAGTAAATTGGGAGTTTGTAGTGCCCCTGCATACAAATGATGAGATGGACTGAGAGCTACATGTACCCTACTTTCAAGGTTGGTTCCCTTTGCATGATCACGATCTCGCTATTGATGTGCGGTATGTACACCAATTAGTGAATAATGGAAAAAAGCCTCATGGGTTTTCAAAATTGTCCAGACGGAAATCCCGGATGCTCATTCTCATGACCTCTTAGTTGCATTTGTTGTAAAGACCATGCTGACTTGGGACCGAGTTGACTTGAGACTGAGTTGTCCAGGGACTAGCCCCCTTATTTTAAAGATGGCGACTGTGAGAGCGAGCCCGTTAGAGTGAATGGATAAAGGCAAAAAGACTGGAAAATACCTGAATAACATGAGTGAAATCATTCAATAAATGGTTTTTAGAAAGTGGAAAGGTCAAGGATCATGTTCTTGTGCAAAAGAAATTGTGCCCACGATGATAAGTTCAATACGCCGACACGAAATTGCATATACGGGATGTGTGGCTAAGGATGGATCGGGAGTGAGAGTCCGTGCCACACTAGTGGGGCTATCCAGGGACCAAATTGGTCTCGGAGTTGCCCTTCACCCGAGATTTCACTGTTTACACTGGTTTATGCACTGCAAATATCTCCCACATCATATCAAAAAGATTTCAGTTATTTTTATCATGTTCATGATGTTGCAGCAAAGAATTGGGGAAACATGTTAATCCCTGTACAAAGTCAATAGAGGATTACCCCTTTGCCGGATGCCCAGTCGTACGTGAGTGCAATGTGCATATTCATAGATGGCCCATGGCCCTAGGTCTAAATTATGGAACAACCTCCGTCCGACACTTACAGTGCCCCATCCAATAAGCTCATTTGTCTCTGCATCCTCAACCAGCAGCCACAGCTTAGCCAGAAAACCTGGCACACTCGAGCTTGGGCCATTCACTTCCTTCTTCTCCATGGTAGGCTTAATAAAAGTTAGTCGAACACTTTAGTTTTTCACAGCAAATTTTAGCCCACGTCCCGTACAATAAACGCCATCTTGGAATAATCTCGTCTGAATCGCCATCCATGGGCCATTGTATTAATAGGGGTGTAATTTCCTAAAATCAGTGGTTATCTGAATACAGTACTGACAAATGAAATAAAGAATTAGAATCCAAATCTCAAAATTAATTTATATCTAATTTTGTTGATTTTTTTTTTTGAAATTAAGTAAGGTTTTTGAGTTTTGTAAGGACACTTTACGCTATATTAAAAAGATCCCCATTTTTATTTAAATGGTTTTCCCTTTTAGAGTGCGTACGTGTCGATGTCGTAGAGAGAGGAGGACGTGTTTCACACTGGTTATTACATGTATTAACTCCAAGCTAGAGAGCAGGTACCGAGTATTCGCCGTACGGACATTGAATGGCTGGTTCCCTCCGTACAATCCACCGGAATTTGAACGACAACGAAGGGATTGGAACCAGTCTAAGGGTACTGAGTGCGTACGTGATCGGATATCGGATACGATCGTCGGGGTATTTGCGTTTTGAAGAGAAATCGACAGCGCCATCTATTGATGTGCAAAAGAGCACAAAACATGTCAAAATGGCTGCCAGTGTTGCTGTAAGTTTTTGCCTTTTTGTTTTATGGTTCTTTGAGGACACTTAACTTTTTACGTGTAACCGTTTTTGACAAAAACGAGTGGAGCTCTTTCACACAGCAAAATTTAAAACAGGGAATCAGTCTGGATATTTTGATGAGAATAAAATAGGTAGCCTACACAAGTTGACATTTTGACAGGGGACGGCCTGTACAGATTATAGGCCTTTGCCTTCATCATGTAGTAAATTGCAAGACACATTAAATTTTTACATGTCCAGATGTTTAACATGTTTAAAGACATGAAAGAGTTCCGCGGGCAGGTAGGCTTGGTCGTACTAATTAACGTCAACACAACGTCAACACATGATAGTAACGTCAACACTCGGTCAATACACCCAAATCACATTCTAAGTTAACAGAGAGGCAATTCGATAGCAATATAATGCCTAAAATACAATTTGGCTAACAACAGTGGGCGACATTTGGGGGAAAAGCCGTTTTATTTCACGAAAATAACACCCTCCACACAGCCACGAAAGACGGTAGCCATGTTGCCTCTCGGTCAGACGGACCATACCATTACGCTACAGGGGTCACCTTTATACAGTATAATAAACCATGGTACGGTGGGAAAGCAAGATGACAGCTAACGGTGGTGCTCCTCATGAAAAAACCTCCCTTGAAATGTTGTAAAATGTAACCTTGATTAAATAGAAATTATTCCTAAGTGTATACATTACAGTTTGATACGTCTGTTTTCAATGCATTTTGTAAGTGCTGACCGTGTGTTGATGTTACTATCAATGTGTTGACGCATGTTGACGGTTTGTTGACGCTGATTAGTAAGACCCGTTAGGCTAGGCCTACATAGGTCTTCTGGATGCGGTACATGTATGAATGATACACTGGCATGACTGGACACACTGCACAAACCCTACGAGTACGAGACTGGTCAGAAATATCTAAGTATTTTCTAAGATTAGAGTCCAAGTACCTTCCATAAGCTTTCCTTCCAATTAGTCATGTTAGGCCTAATTCATTTCACTCAAAATATCTCGAACCCCGAATCAAATTCCTGCGAATTCACCCCCAAAACCGTCCTTATAGTTTCTGATTCCAGCTTAGGATTAAGTGAGAATCGGTACATCCAAACTGTACCCCTCAGGAATGAAAACACTCAGGAATCAGTTGTCGGTGTGTGTGTGCCAATATGGCATGCTTTTTGTGAATGGTCCACCAGGCCGGTGCGCCGTAACGCCATCTCCAGGACATTAACGTGCAGTTTAAATAGCTCATTGAAAAAGATGGTGACTTTGAGCTTAACAAGAAGAGCGTTTCCAATTTGAAAGGAAATTTTTCTTTTCTTCCCAAATGTGATTAAATCTTACCATCATGTCTGGAATCTCTGATTTTCACTAAATCCTAGGCTGGATGCATTAGACAGTTTAAGGACCATTTTGGAGGTGAATTCAGAGGATTTTGATTTGGGGTATGAGCTATTTTGAGTGAAATGAATTAATGGAATGGAAAGTCTAGATGGAAGGTACTTGGACTCTACTGTTGCCTGGCCATATCCAAATGTTAAAAAGGGAGATTTGTAGAGTTCAGTGGCACTCAGTGTGCATTTTGTACTTCATGTAACCAGTATATAATATTATATATACAATATAAACAGCTTCACCACTGGAACCCCTGCAGTCTCCTGACAACGGACAGAGCATACTGTCGGAAACATTGAGTACCCCTGGTTCTTTTAAGAACCACACCTACTCATGGTGCTTCTGCAAACCTCTACAACTAACTTGCTACCTTCACCATGAAAGGCTTCAAAACTCATACATGTAACCAATGTTCTCCACAGCATTAAATTTCAGCATGGAGGCAGGCAATGCAAGTGCAGAGCATGAAGCCCTTACAGCATTGGGTCTGGGGCCCGCTTAAAGGACCCGGGAAAGTTTGGATTCTAGATCCTCTATAGTGCAATCAGCTATTTCCTGGGCACTTTTTCAGACTAAATCAAATTTACTGGTATTTATAACTTGAAATGAAGGCAAGGGGGGTCGGTCATCAAAAGTAGATTTTGTTTCGGGGCATTTTTTGTTACAGATTAGAACTTGTCACTAAATGGGGGTTAGGGAGTTATGAGCCTGAACAACCCTCAAACGCTGAAATTTACATGTAGGTTACTGGGTCTCAATGTGACAAAGTGAAAATGATATTAGCAAGGAGATTGCAACCAGTCCAGAATTTCATGCGTACATACATGTATGATTTATTACGTGTGTAGATGTGAATGATCATACCCCTTGACGCCGGGACTTTTTTCTGAAAGCAGACTCCGAGAATTCCAGCCTCGCTTGGCCACAAAGGCCACCTGCTCATTGTTTGGTGGCATGCGGCTCTTTTCACGCGTCCACATTCCCGTTACCTCTTTTCAAAGTGGGGACTATTGTGAAGCTGGTGGTTATGATGCAAATTCGGCCTTTTCATTTCTTGGCAACACACAAAGGCCAATCACCATATACACAAGAGCCAGGGTATGCTTTCTTTCACCGTGTTCGCTTGAGCATGGGCCAAGAATAATAGCTGAAAAGTGGTCAGAGGGATCTCAAGTTTTACAGCGACTCTTACCGCCTCCCGGCAGGAAGGGGTTAATGTTAATACATGTTGTGTTCGTTGTGTCCAGTGCTGGGTTTGATCATAAATGCTAGAAGATTGCATCTAAACATTTTAGGAAGTAAACTGTTTTTAGTACCACTAACTGATATTTCCACTGGACAACAGCCCAGCTCATGGGAAAACCACAACAGTCAATCATAAAAGAATTGTTTCTGCACAAATGTCTATTTTGCAAATGTGCTGTTTTTTGCTACATGTAGGCCATATGAAAGAAAATTGCTACACTTTTTGTCATTGGGCATTTTGGCTTCGTTTTTGCTCTAAAAGGTTTTAGCTCCAGTTTAATTGATTTTTGGAATGGAAAAAAATATGGTTTTTGAATTTAACAGAAATGCAGCTGTTCAAATTTTTTTTTTGATTTTGTCATTGAGTTTGGATAATTTCTTATTGGATTCAACCTCCAACAAGAGTTTTATTTCCGACAACATTGTCAGTGCTATAGTGGCTTACATGTACATGTATGTGTCCTGTACATTCTTCAAAAAGCTGAACAAAGGGAAAATCAATACTTAAACAAGAGAAACCTTAAAATCTGTTTAAAAAGTCAAGTAGTGAATGAGAAGTGAATGTAGTTGAACATCATCACTTTAAAATAGAAGAGAATTTGAGCTTTTTGTCGAAATATATGCATATGCGCTCTCAATTCTATTTTGGAATTTTTTTCCAGGTATGCAGATGAGCTCTCAATCCTATTTCGGAAATGTTTCCAGGACAAATACGTGTACATGTAAGACCCATTTCATTATGAATTTTTCATTATAAATTTTTCATTTCATTATAAATTTTTCATTCACTTCCCAGGAATCACCTGGTCAGCCACCTGGAAATAGAGCCAGTGAATGTCAGTCATCCTCCAAACTGACCTCATTAGAAGCATCTGAGAACTCCATCACAGAAAATGGAAGAGCTAGCATTCAAGAAAAGCAGACTAAGGGTGAGACACAGCAGATTGATAGACAGTGAGATAAGGGAAATGAAATGAATTTCTTTGCTTGGTAATCTGGTGAGAGCTGAGACACAAATTACTTGCCCATGTGTGTCAGTGGTCAGGAAATGATGTCTCCATTAAATTTTTCTCTCTTCTTAGAAAAGCAGCCTTCTCCAACTCTATGCAGCCCATCAAAGTCAAAGCGTAAACTGGATTCATCAGACGGGCACGATGACAGCACATGTGATCCCCAGCTGGAGACCCTGTGCCGCAAAAAATTCAAACCAATTGCTCCCAAGCCTACGGTCAAGAAAGACCACCACCAGTCGGTTGTCACGGCAACCGTTCCCATTAAAGATGCTCCCCAGCCAGACTTTGGCCCATCCTTCTGCGTGACCAAGGGGGACAGCAAGAGCGGACCGGTGATGTTTGTGAGCCCAAAGGTGCAGCTGATTCCTAGTGTACCAATCATTGCCCACACACCCATGTTCAACACTGAGGCCTTGGCATCCAGTGGTTCTCCATTCTCAGTGACTGTTCCATTGATGTCACGCGGCAAGTACTTAAATGTAATGAATCCCCCAGCTAGGATTGCAATGACAGACATTGCAGGTCACTACAAAACTGTTGTTCAACTGTTACCAAGCAGTTCCAGTCACAGTTGTCTCCAGCCTACCAGCTGTGTGCCAACTAAGAGCAACCTGAACAAAACCAGTGCTGATATTTCTTCTGCCAACGCAGCACCAGTGAGAAGTGAACAGAGCCAAGGCAGAAATGGAATGTCAGCAAACAGAACTGCCAAAACGAAGACAGTATCAAAGCCAAAAGCAAGTAGATATAAATACAGCCTTCTGATGAATGGAGGTTGTTATGATGGTAACTTGAACACAGCAGCTAACACCAAGCCCCAGACCTGCATCACACCAGCTGTCTCCTTGAACGGAGGTGTGCGATTCAATCTACCAGCCATTCTAACAAGCTCAGGAATCTTACAGATAACTGTCCCCAGTGTTGGCATTGCTAACGGGCAAGTGCAGTACTGTGATGTTCCTTCAGCTGCAGATGTCGTACAAACACAATCTAGCAATTTGCAAACTCCTTCGACACAGTCTGTGAATGCATCAGACATTGTGGCAACTTCTACTGGACAACCAGTGAGCACAGCAAACGCCTGCATCACTACAACTTCCAGTGGATTGACACAGTCAAGTGTAAGTGAGTCGAGTGCTCGTCTTGGCAGTGTTGCTCAAATTTCCTGCAAGAAAACCAATGCAACAAGTACACGTGGTGTGTCTCTTGATGAAACACTGAGAATTATGTTAAGGAGCCCAAGAACAAATATCTCCCACGATAACCAAAGAGAAACAAGTCAGAAAAAGAAAAGCAAACCACACAGGATGAGTGCTTCCTCTGCCAAAAGTCGTTGCAAGGGACAAAAGACCAGAGTAGATGTGTCTGTTGCTTCTTCAGTGAGTGAAAACAGTAGCATACAAGATAAGAGCAGTGGCAGGAGTGGGATAGTCGAAGCTTTGCCTGGTCAGTGTACAGATGAAGTGTCTTCACACCCTGTTGACAGTATACACAGAACAGTACCTAGTGAATATTTATCAGAACAAAGGAACAATGAAGTGACCACTACAGGCCAGAGTGTGCAATATCGACAAGGAGATGCTGGTGAAAATGGCCTGACAGAACAGATATCACTGGGGCAAGATGTGATACCAAATCAAAGGAGTCAAGGGATTAGAGCTTCAAGTTATTTAGTTAATGAAGAGACAATGACCATAGTGCATCCGGCAACAACCACAGTCGTGGCAAACTCTGCCTCTCATGATTCATCAAAGAGACTGCCAGACACATTAGTTTCATCATCTGGGGCCTCAGATTCTTGCTCGTCAATCACCAATGGCTTGGGCGGCATGACAAATGTTCAGGACCTTGACTATTTAAGACACTCCACACTGCCAGTAAATGTAACAACAAGCAATAATCTTCATGGATCTGTCAGGCCAGTGAATGAACAGTGGACTAGGACTATCACAACAGCTCCAAGAGCCTCTAGTTTGCCCAACTTTGCAACAGGACCTAGAGGCTTTTACACAAGCACAACCATTGCACCACTGGTAACCTTTAATATTTCACAAACAGCAAACCATCAAGTCCCACAAGGACCCAAGGACAGTGCTCCTGTACCAACAACAGTGAGCTTTCAGCCTGGTTTAGCTTTGCTCACATCTTCCACCGCACCATCTATGCAATCCAAGCAAACCAATAACATTACGGTGGTCACAACAGCCTGTGTTTCTCTCAGTAAGAGTTTAACTTCCATACCAAGACTAAATTCAAGAACTGTCTTCAGCACTACAATGTGCAGTAGTGTGGTGAGCAGAAACTTGCATAGTCATGTGCAGATGAATTCTGCATCGCAGGGATCCCATGATGGAATTCATCCTGGAACATCTGTCCAATCCTTGCAGAATCCAAGTGAAACCATCAGGCCTCAAGGTAATGTTCCTAGTTCTTCACATCCTGTTGCAAGACAGCAAAGGCCACATGCAGACTCCCACACAGCCGTAACTTATTCCCACAACACAGTGACATCAGTGGGGAATGCAAATCACAGCTTCCCTTCCACCTTGATTAGCTCCAGCAATTCCTGTATATCCACCACCACCTTGTCCACCCCTCCTGCGCCACATGGAACTTACCTACTAGATGTGAACACTCCAAGAATACCACCTGCTTCTTTATCATCCATCAGTGATGAGAGGAATGCTGTTCCGGTGCGAAGGCAGCCCCAGCTTCCTGGTGACAATCTTGGTACCATGCATCCTGAGATAAATGGTGCCATCGGCAACAGGGGCCACAATCCACCACAGAACGATTTGCCGTTAGTGATAGCAAGACAGGCTAATCAAGAGCATCTTGTGCCGAGACAAAATGTTGATGCATCAGGTGCAAGACCAAGCAGTCTTCAGTGTACTACTCTCACAAACAGACCCGAGCACAGCTTGTGCACCCCATCTCTACCAGTAGTGCCCCACCATGCAGGTATCTTAGCCACAGCAATACTCCGATCAAGAGCTCTGGAGAGGAATCCTTGGGGGGTTCCCTCTCTGAATATGAGCACACCTCCAGTTGTTTCAAGTGTTGCTCTAACGCCACCAGTGACAGTGACTCCTAACACGACTGCAGGCTTCTTTAGAGCTACTGAGACTGTCAGTGTGACCAATAGTACCATTAGTCACACACATTCTGCAGACCATGGACTTCATTCACAATCAGCCACTGGAATGCCGTCATCTGTGGTGAGATGTACAGATAAAGGAATCCAAAACTGGCCCACCACTTCTGAGGGCATTCTCTCAAGACAAGAGGGAAGCAGTTTACCTGGAACTCATGCTGCAAGATTAAGCACTGAGAGACAGGGTAGAATGGCTGCACCCCCTCCTAGCTTTACTGGCAGTGAAGGTGCTGATCAGGGGGTCAATAATTCTGTAACAACTGCACCAGGAGATCAAGTCCTGAGCATGCAAAGCCATATCCAGTCAGTTCCACTTCACAGCAATATCCCACCAAATGCAAGGAATGCCATGAATGAGGCATTGCAGCGACGGAACAGGAATCTGCGCATGCATCCTACAAGGTCCGAAACTCCAAGCTCAGTTGTCAGCACACAGACCCATGCAAGCAGAGTGGCGGTGTCTGCCATCCAGGAGAGCAGCAGCTTCACTGGAACCCAGCCGACTCACGCTGTTGCTGAAAGGGGAGAAATGACAAGCACAGATCTTCTGCATGCATCAAGGGAGCATCCCAGGCAAGAGTCTGTTCCCCATCAGCACCCTGCTCATCATGTACATGGCATGCCTGGTGCACGGGTCCCTTCAAATTCCATGTCTCATCTGCCCATGCCATTGATGCCCCCACCATCCGTCTTGTACGGCAGCTCCACCCCAGTGCCCAATCTTTCCATGACTCCTCTCCATGGGGTGCCACTGCCAGGGTCACTGTCAGCCCATTCTGTTCAAGGACACGGCATGACTCACCAGGTTCATGCCACACCCCCACCTGCCCCCCACCATGGGCAGTCCGCTGGATCAAACCCGCAGGGCCCTGTCAATCACATGTTTGTACCTACCCCATATGGTCCTATCCATCGCTCTCTGTACATGCCACCACCGAGTCCCCATCCCCCAGATCTGAGCCTGATGTCTCCAAGATCCTACGGTCAAGTCCATATGCATGACAGTGTGTTGTACAGCCCTCGATTTTCTTCTCCAATAAGAAATTTGCCAGGATCAAGCTTGGCAGAGGGAATGTTTGGGACCGCAATGCCTAGGAGCTTCTCAGATGACCGATTGGACACTTGTTGTTCTGGACCTTACACTCACTCCCCACCGATTCATGACAACTCAAGTCACATGTACCCACCTGGCTTTATGTCACCACCAGTGAGTAGAAATCAACCACCTTCACAAACCAGTCTTTGTGACTCACACCAGCGGCAATTCAACCATCGAAGCCATCAAGGCGTGTCCGAGAGACACCCATTCTGCCATGACAGCATAAGACAAGCAGCACCTCAAGTCCCGGTTCCCGTAACACAGGCCAGCAGTTTCAATGGCACTCCAAGTTCAGCCATAGTTACAACTGTATGCATCTCTCTAGACTCTAATGTGTTAGTCTGCACAGCATCCTCATGTGTTCCAACTCAGCAGAGTAGTCTGGGGAACTCACTGCCTGCAAATTCACTCAGTCCAACAACCTCATCCACAGCAGGAGTAACCCCTGGAACCATGGTTTCCTCAAGTGCCAGTGAAAACACTTCTGCCGTGCCATCAGCCCCAACCAGCTCTTCCAGCACCACCCCAGTCAGAGTTGTAAACTTGGGAAACACGAGTGACAAGTACCTTCCTCTGGAGCTGGTTGTTTCCTCTCCATCTACACCAGTCACCTCATCTGCCTCAGTTGCAACACTCCCCATGCAACTCAGCAGTGAGCAGATTGTCAAGTTTGGTGATGTGATACTGGAATGCAGCCGGCAGATCTTGAGGGAGTCTGGTCGCACTGTGCTGTGCTGCTGGAGTTGTGACTACCACACAGCCGAACCCAAGAAGATGTACAGGCACCAGCGTCGTGATGAACAGCCAATGAAGTGCCAGCTTTGCAGCCACATGGGTATCTCCCGCTGTCAGTTAAATCAGCATTTTAAGGAGATGCATATGGATAAGGATGAGGACCCATTTAGGACGCCAGCTGTAACATGAAAAGTCTCTGTTCAGTGTCTCCAATTGCAACCAACGTTTGAGGAGGTCGTAACAAACAGAGAAGGTTAATAGTAATCAAACAATTATACATTTTACTTTCTGTTGCTTTACATGTAAAAGGCCGCTCAATATCAAACATGCAAGTGATCTTGACATTTAAATTTGGCTTGTCTAAACCATTTACAAACTTTTCTTTCATGTTGAAAGTGAAACCTCACGAGAGTGCAAAACAAGTCAAGTCAGTACAGTGTCAGGAAGTAATTAGCCCCGTGACATTCGCTGTATTGCTTACTAAATCCTACTCCTCCAAGTGAAAGCTGCTGAGTTGGAAGAGAGGGGTTAAGTCGAGATTCTCATGAACAACAAACTTTGTCTAGTCTTTTCTTCAAGGGAAAAAAACTGAGTCCAAAATTCTAAAATGTAATGCACGATGAATCATTGATAAAATCAGCGTGTAGTGTTTTGTTCATAACCTCAAACATTGAACAAGACAGGTTTTTAGTCCAGAACCAAAAGCGAAGATCCTGTGAAGGAATTTGTACTTCCATGTTCCCGCATACATGCATGTCACTCTGTGCATTGATGTGTATAATATGTACATGTACATCTATGTTGGAAAGGCTGGTTAAAACATGTTGTCGCTGATTTTGTCTGGCACTTAAGCAGACAACTTCTGGAAGACATTTTAAGCTCAGAGTTTTATCTCTATGTTGTACTGAGTTTTGAGATGTGGGAAGTCATCTCTTTTTTTCTTGGAGGGCAGATTTTTTAATAACCTAATTTCATTTCTCTTCTGTCTGTATTTGAAACCAAAACCTCAGACACTGCTGTCAATGATTCTTACAACTTTGTGTAATTACGAGTACATGTATGTGATTTTGTTGATTGAAATTGTAAAAAATATATAATTAAAAATGCAGCTGAAATAGTTTACATAATCCATATTTATATTCGTACCTTTTCTGTAATTAACATGTTTGAGTAAAATTGTACATGCTGTTATTCCACTACCATGTAAAATAAGGAACAAAGAGAGTATTTATGCACCAAACCAAGTTTGTATTTTCATGTTTGTTGCTTTTTTATCTTTTCAAAAGATTTTTACAAGAAATTGTTTGCACCTGTTGAGCTTTTTTATACAAACTATACCCATGTAAATTGATTTTTTGCTTTTTTTACACTATCAACTGGCTAAAATTGTTTACCCAATTTTGGCTATTTTTCTTGTTCAAAACTTCAGTGTTCAAGATGTTCTTAATTACAGCCATTATAATTATAGTCTTGTTCTGCAACTTCAAGGCAGTTCAAGCAGTTAATGCACCAGCCTCATTCTACTCATCAATGACACTTCTTTCTGAAAATGGAAAAACTGAGCTGGATGCTACATAGTTCTGTTTGATGTTATTACTAAGATGAGTATGTAATGATCTCCCTTTTTGTTGGGTAAGATGCTCACTGCAGAAGTTCAGGTTTCTTTTTGTAAATTCCTGTTATTATTCTTGGGAAGGTGATATGCATGTATTAATTGTATGTGGGAATTTGATTTCCTATGTTATTTGAAATTAAGGTTTAAGGTTGTGTTGTCACAAATGGGAGTTTGAACATGGTGCTGACAAATGAAAACAATCTTTAAATGCAAGTTTACTGTATTGCACGTGTGGTTTCTTATTATATCCATAAAATGATTGAATGGAAATTGTTTCTGTTGTCACAGATATGGTTTAATTAGGCCACACATTTGCTGCTAAATTTACTTGAGTTCAAAATATTTAATTTCACGACACAACCTTTCATTTAGATATGCTTTTATTAATTAACTTGTTTCAGCTCAACTCCCCTCCCCTATTAATACAAATACTGGATGTAGGGAACCACGTTTGGTGTGGCCTCTTTTACTTTTAGGTTCATAGAAAGTCAAATTGCTTAATACATATAATAGTCCATCTTGGTCACAAATGATGGAAATGCAGCTAAACATACGGAATATGAAAATGATTTGTCCGCTTATTTTAGCACATTTGGTTCACATTAAAAGGGACAGTGAAATACATATTTTATGCTGATAAAAGAAGCTTTACTTCATGGAATACGCCTGCCCCCGTGAGTGTTCTTTCGTCTATTAGTTGTGCACATATTTATGTACATATTCTATATACATATATTCCATTTATATATACACGTATTTATTCTTTTTTGATTGTAAAATGAAAATCAAACAACCAAAAAAGAAGTTGTTTTTGACGTGACAATGAAAAAAATTTTAAAAGTTGTTTTCCGTTTTAAAAAAGAAAATGAAAATAGAAAACAATACATTTCTAATTTTGGATTTGAAAAAAAATGACAACAGAACAAAATCTTGTCTTTCATTTAAAAACTCAAAACGATCACATTCTTTTTCCCCTTTTTCAGTGTAGATATAAGCACCAACATAATCTAGGCCTATTGCTCCAACATTTAAGAATGAAAAACAGTTTCAATTTTTTATTGTGTAATGTACGAAACGCATTTGTATGCTCGCCACTATACGAGGAATTCGTTGCTTCTATTAAAGGGAGGAGCAACTCACAAGGGGATTTAAGGCAGTTTTAATCTTGAGAAGTGCTCAGAGACGTCACCTCAGTCAAAATAACGCGGGTACACGTGTGCAGACGAATGAAACTTGGACTACATGTACTTTTGTTTTCAACAGAAAAAGAAGAAGCGAGTCTGTCGTCTTTTCCCTCATTTTCCGTTTTCAAATCGAAACATGCTCGGACCATACCCTGCTGCTGATGATTGATCATGATCCATGATCGTTGGTAGCCACGTATGGTGAGTGTACCTTCAACATGTGGGATGGGAAGAGAGCCATAAGAGGATCGACCGCTTCGCGGCACTATACGATCTTTGGTTCGGAGACCATCGCGTGGACACACGTATTTGTTGTCGCCCAATCCCCACTTCGCCCTATTTTCACTTTGCCCCGTCCGTGCTATACTAATGTATTGTAATTTATTGATGCCAATAATACATCATAAACAAGATGGGAGACAAAAGTAATAAAAAATCACTGTGGTCACAGACCACTCTCCCTACAGTCTAGTAGTGAAAAATTAAAGATATTAATAGGCCTAATAAGTAAATACACTATCTAAAACACTGAACATGTAAGCAGTTAAATATATAAATGCATATAAAAATACACTTGGACACTTTATAAAAATTTAACAATAAGTATTATCTAGAAATAAAACGATAATACTTCATTAATTAAATAAATTAAAAAAAAGAATTAAAACGACCACCTAGGACATAAACATAAAATAAATAAATACATGTACATGAAATGGCACATTGGTCCAGTTATGAAGTAAGGAAAGAATTACAAAAAAGGGCGAAATCAAAAAGGGTGAGCTACTCTGGTAAGGACATGATGCATGTGTAACCTGGAAATTTGCCCCGCTAACTGAATACATAAGACTTTGGGAAAGTAACAAGATCTGAAGACACCTGGTTCAGGAAGACTGGGTCGCGATTTATTTGGAAGGTAAGGACAAAGTTAACAAATGAAAAAAAATGGAAATGTGATAACAACCCAACACAGTGCCACAAGTGGATTACTCGAGTGACCAATCAGGCACAAACCCCAGCTGCAACTGGTGACAAGAGCAGAAAAGCGCAAATGTGGGAAGGCCGAAGAGAGCAGTGAGTGGTAATGCTCACTCTTCCGTAGCGCGCACCAGTCTGCACAATTAACTGCAGGAGCTGAGGCCTGAGCTCGATGAGCAATGCTAAACTAAAAGGTGATACGGGGTACCAGACAAGTTGCTGACTAAACTAAGGAAGCTTGTAAAAGAAAAAGTGTCATGTAAAAAAAAACATTCAAATCTCCCTTCCACACTTGCCACCACTTAAAATCCTTGTCCTCAACAAGGGAAACTTAAGTACATGAAATGCACCATCTAACCTAAGTTATTACAGTACAATACTTATTTCCACTCCCAAAGCGCTGAGGTGGTCTTCGCCTTCGTGGAGGGCGCCGTCTGGAGAGTA